AGCTTTAAAAATCCCATAAAGTATATAAGTTCTTGGGCAGCTACAATACCTGAATTCACCGAAACATTCCCGCCTGTTCGTTTGTCCATCTGTCTGTTTGCGTAACTTTGTGTTATTTGTGGTAAACTTTCCCCTGTTGGTAAAAATGAAGATATCGCGTAATAATTTGCATAAGAACTTGGAATTGACCTGAACTTTTCAAAGGACACAAAGTCTACAACGTCCACCTGCCTCTACGACGTTTATTTTGAAAATAGAAGAATTCCACTGCGTCCACTACATATTACAGGGCATAAGGATTTTGTTCTTTTGTTTCTCTTGTTTTCTTTTAGGGTAAACGGTGATTCGGTCCCGACCGAATTTTACTTTCTTACTCATTTTTCTTACAAGAAAATATTCCAATATTAAAATTGCGTTTTCACTTACTCACTGCAAATGGGTTAGTTGTGCTTAGTGGGTGACAAGCACATAATATAATAAATTTAAGATGCGTTCTATTGGTATGGAAGCACAAAATATCGTTTAATTTCTATTCGATTGAAGGCGATTTTTTTATTAATTGATTTTGAAGCTATACGAAGCAATCTGTCATTCAAACTTAAGCCTTAATCGAATAAAAATGTCAATTAATTTTAATTTAATGATAAGCGGTCAAGCAAGATATAACTGCCGACAAAGACGCTTAATTCAATATATTGACATTGCATTTGGATTTGTTTTAAAGATTAATTTGCATCCACGATTATACAAAATCAAGTTTATATTAACATGGAATTTAAAAGTAAAGCAATGCGTAATGGAGAGACAGAGTTACGAGGTATTTAAAAACAATATTTCACTGTAGAGCATTATGATGCTATGTAGCAATGTGCGTTATATTATTATTGTTATTATTATTATTATTATTATTAATTTCCGCAGAGAATAAATGCAAGACTAAAGTTTTAATGCATTTTTTTAATTTCTATATATTTATTGAAAATTCCATTACTACGAATAGTAAGCTATATTGAATTCAAGATTTCGTTTCGATAATTTCAAAACTAAAACAACGTTTTCCGTTGTCGCGTCATCATATTTAAAATTTTTCGTAATGCAAGAAAAAGTCCTCCGATCACTAAATTTAGATGAAATGGATTACTTATTTTTTAACGACATGAAAACGCGAAATGGACTTTGATATGAGAAGTAGCCGAAAAAATATTCCATATTGTTCATCCTTGGGCGAAAATATGTCAACGTAGAAGACAAAAATTTGTGGACGGAGACATAACCGTTCGATTAACCATTGAGTTAGAAAACGGTTACGAATCAATTAACGGTTAATCGATTAATCGATTAATATTGTTACGAAAATGCCATATTTGATAATTGGAGTTTTCATGAAAATTAGTCGAAGCAATCTGTCATTCAAACTGAAGTCTTAATTGAATAGAAATTAAACGATATTTTGTGCTTCCATACCAATAGAACGCATGTTAAATTTATTATATTATATGCTTGTCACCCACTAAGCACAACTCTAACCCATTTGCAGTGAGAAAGTGAAAACGCATATTAAATATTGGAATATTTTATTGTAAAAAAACCGAGTAAGAAAGTAAAATTCGGTCGGGACCGAATCACCGTTTACCCTAAAAGAAAACAAATTCTCATGCCCTATAACATGTAGTGGGCGCAGTTGATTTCTTCTACTTTCAAAGCAAAAGTTTCTATCGTAGAGGCATGTGGGCGTGGTAGACGTGTTCTTTGAAAAGTTTAGATCAATTTCAAGTTCTTATGCAAATTTTTACGCGAAATCTTTATTTTTACTAGTGGGAGAATGATTACCACAATTACTACAAAGCTGCACAACAGACAGATGGACAGACGAACAGGTGGACATGTTTAGGTGCATTCAACGGTTGTAACTGCCGAAGAAATTATATATTTTATGGGGTTTTTGAAGCTTATTTCTACGCGTTATGAAGGTATTGAAAAAACAATTAAATTTTGTTGCGCTATAATATTAGGTAGGCGTGATCAATTTATTTCATTTTTGTGCTACAGCGTCGCCTATAGACTATGCGATCAAATTTTTGTGCCTTTATTTGCTATAGTTTATGGGTAATGAGAAAAAGCCATGTTTTTCATTCCCTTCGAAGATACAGAGGCGTTCTCTCTCTCTCTTATGAGGTGCTGTGGACGTGTCCTTCGACCGATTTGGCCGATTTTCAATACCACCCTGCGCGCATGAACCTCCAATATTTTTTTTGCCAAATTTGAAGTCGATAGCTTCAGCCTTGCGGCCAGGCGAATGTTTACAACCGACATTACACAGACGGACAGATGGCGCTCTCTGAAGCTTCCTTCTGAGCGTTGAAAACGTTTTGACAAAATGAATATACCCCCCTAAAAGACTTGAAATGGTAAAATTTTTGGACGCAGTACACATAATTCACTCTTGTATTACAGATGGTGTAAGGTACGAAAACTGCGTTATTCGTTGGCTTATTCCCCAGGTACATAAAATATTTATATAAAACTTGGCTAATTGCAGAGTGAGTTTAGGAGTTGTCAGCAAATATCCGATAATTTGTTATGTACCGTGCGTAGGTCAATATAGTTTGACTTTAGTTGTTCAAGCTGCTCTCAGACATTTACAATCAATTTAGTTAACTCAACCGTAGTCCTAATTCGCTGGTGGATTAGTTCAGGGAAGTCCAAGCAAAATGAACTATTATGCCAGCAAATCAAACCAAGACAACAATTAAACGTGTTCAGGCATTAGTGCTAGGGCAGGATTGAAGACCTTTCATCTAAATACGAAAGTCCATTCTTTATATATATAATTTATTTTTCGAATAATTCTCCACTCGACTTATTAATTTTTTCGAAATATTTTTGTACCATTTCTTTCAGTATTCAAGCGAAAGGATCATTTTTGAAGTTACGTTTCTGTTAGATGCGGATATAAGTAAACAATGAATGAAATTGAGGGGATGTTATAGTAAAATGTTAGGAACTATTTTGCCCGATACATATTGCAGTATCCAACGATCATTCATTGCTTCTCTCGCTTTTTATGCAGCATATAGATTAGGTGCAAAACGAACAAATGATTTTTCGAGGCTACTTCCGAAAGAACCTATATTGGCGTACCATCATAAGAATAGAAGCGCTGTTAGATTAAAAAACAACTTATCTGTTGAAATCCGTGTTAATAGGTAGGAGTAGAGTACGCTATTAATTGTGGAAAGGATGTTTCAGGCCTCGATATGCAAGCATTTCCTGAGTGAATGTTGTGAGGTAAAGGAGAGTTTCTTCAGGTTGAATAATGCCCCCGTCTTAGGTGCAACAGACATTGTTGGTAGCTTGGGTTAAATTTTTTTCATGTGCTATTGATAATAATGAGCAGCATTCAATTCTTTGTTGACTTCGCTCGGAGTTTTACTGAACCAAGAGCTCAGATCTCTATTGTCGAATATATGAAACGTTGGACTAAAGAATTCAATTATCTATATGTCAGTAAGAGTTTCGCATTAACTCGCTTCTCAGACCAGTCTGGGAATACTCAGTCATTCTTCCGGTAATCAAGTTACCTGATTTATTATAAAAAGCAGAGTTTTTGTGTTATCTGCTCTTCGAAGCTTAGCTTTAGTCTCGCCCCCATTTCTTATAGCCCTGCCATTCCTGCGAAGAAGGCGTAAAGTGTTAGCGGCTGCTTTGATACAGCGCTATGTGAATACTTTACTCCGACTTGGCCTAATTGTTTTTCATTTCGATAACAGATACATTGGAGATTGTGGTCCTATTAAACTACAATAATGCCCTTAAAAATTATTAGTTACGTCAAACGTTTCGTAGATTATGCGAATCATACAACGATTAATGTAATTGGTTTGATCAATATTTAGATTCAATTTGCAAGATTGAATATAGCTTGTCTCGACTACAGTGCAATAGAATGTGCACACTTGTACTTGCAGGTAGTAGTTGCTTTAAATGAATTATACGTTCATAGGTAATTTAAAAGTACCTTTTGCTTGTTTAAACTGCATTCCTGTTGCCCTCTACACCACCTGTAGTTTAGGTGGGTATATGAATTTTGTGCGGGTTGCATGCTACACCCAGGAGGGTTTGAGATAAACCCACCTTTTATTGCAGCAATCGATTCAGTAAGTGATTCTGCTAAGCTACTTTGTCCGTCTATCTGTCTTGTAACCATGTGTTTAACCTACAAGTGACAATGTTTAAGATATTTTGGCCCAAAGACGAGCGTTATTGAAAATGAACGGTTCAGATCGGGTAATTTTACAAGCTCGTCCCTTAAAACACCTTATATGAGTAACTATATTAAGCGATTATTAAGTGGCGTAGAGTATATAAGCGCGGACTTTGTCCCACTATGGTGTCTTTGTTTATTTTACATTAGTTAAGTTGTACAACTGAAAAGAATTGCAGCTAATGTATGTTCGTATGAATAAATGAATGAATGAATAGATTGAACAGAGGGAGAAGCTTAAAAATTTTTTCTTCTAATATTATATTAAAAGAAGACATGGATATCTGTGCATTAGCGATTACAATGAATTACTTACCATTCATTTCTTGTTTTCTAGATGATACCTTAGAATTTTCACTTTGCTGAAAGTTTGTAAGAGCATCATCAGTTAGTTGACTGGAGCATCAATTTAATATAAATTTAGAAAAAAAAAAATATAAAAAAATAAAATATAATTTTTTGCCCCAATTTTCTTAATTCGGAATTGTAATGATTGTAAAAATGTGGTTATTTGTTGTTGTTTACCCATTCAAGGCGAGTATTAGCGGTCTTTTCGTTTTAATTAAATTCACTAGATTTTGTTCATCATAAGGTACATCTTTCTCAAGGGTTTTGTCAAAGTACTGAGAGTTTATTAATTTCTTTTTAGAACGTTTTAATGAACAAAATTTTAACATTTTTTTTTTTTTTTTTTTTTTTTTTTTTTTTAAGCAAATCTTTGTTAAGCAATGTGCTCTTAGCTGTGGTTGTTATCAAACTAAAAATGAAGGGAGTATGTTTTGCTGGTGACTTCGATTAATATGCTAATATGTTGTTGTTAGTGCTGATGCGGTATTAGCTCGTTGGACATATGCCATTATCTTTAAAAAACGCTTGCAAACAGATCTCATCAACACGATCCCATATTAATGAGCCGAATCGTCGAGCAGTATAATCGATTACCAGTGTCTTTTTACAATTATAGCATTTGTCACGATAATGATGAAGTATTCCGACGTTAGGTTGTAGAATTAGTTCACTATAGCCGGATACACTTTTCCACATGCGATTCTTTCCCATTTCTAGAACTGAATGAGTGTTTATAATGCATTTGCTTTGTGCGTAAACGGGTTTAATTTGATCGGCACGCCTCACTTTCGTTTGCGTATATAGGAAACGATTTCTCGCATATATTGGTGTACTGTACGTGTCATTTCCGTCTTTCATGTAGAAAAATGCATTGCAGAAAACAAAAGCTGATGTTTGTCCTTTATCACACTTTCTCAAGTATCCCATTAGGCTATTAAAGTTAACTGGCATTAATATTTCATCAAGATCCACTATAGCTGCATATCTATAATTATCGACAATCATTGCTCGATAAGAGCAATCATTAATTTGAGCAATTATGCCATTAAAATATGAATCATCTTGATAGGTCTCTAGATTCCAAGGCAATACATCGGCTATACCTTCTTTGCGGTAATGTTTTAAAAGACGTTTCACATCTCGACTATGATTATCTTCATAGAAATAGAAATGTTTAGCTCCTAGTAAGCGATACATTTCCACAAACTCTGCTATACGTAAGACATTTCGATAATGTTTTTGCAGAGGTGCCACACATACCGATAAAATCGGTTGGGATTTGGCGAACAATTGATCCATGTTCCGTGGATAACTGCATGAAAAGAAAAGAGAGTTTTCATTTCGCGAATACCACTGAAACAATAGGCGATGTAAAACAAGTCAAAATGCGATAGACGACCAAGACCTTGCACCTACTAACAGTTTTATAAAGTGAGTGGTTCAAGTCAATTTAAACGAGCTGCGCGTTAGACCCGAAACAATCGAAGCATCAAAATGTTCCAAAAACTGGCAACTATAGGATTGAATGTAAGATGGAATAACACGGACGGGTAGACAGCCTTAAATCAATTCCGCAAATGATACAAAATATTGACATCTAAAGCCGTTCTGATTCTAATCTATGGGGATATATGTGGTACATGTAGTACCGAAAATGGTGTTTGTTATAATTATGAGACTCAGGATAATCAAATTTCGTTTATTGGTTGATCTTATTCATTAGACTTCTCAAAATCGCATTCATACAAAGGCTATCCTTTTTGTTAGGCTCAAAGTGTTCATAATTGCTTACCTGATCGGTACGAATGTCGGATGGAAATTTGCCAAAGTATTTGACGGATAAGTGATGGCGACTTCTTGCGGCAAATGCATAATTTTGTTCCCATTATCAGCCTTACCCAATGGGCACACGATAGTGAAAACAGCATATTTTATATCTTTTCGCTCGGGCAACGGCTTCACTTGTACGGCCCGTATCTTGACGGTGCTGAAATCTCTTTGTCTGCATTTAGAGAAATTATTTTTAAACTTAAACTCGTTTCTTCCTTCTTTATGTACAAAGGGTGTTGTGTTCTACGATAGACTAATTAAAAGCAGGGGCTTATGTTTGGAAATATTCTTGGTATAGGTGGATATTTTTCCATATAAAAAGAGATGAATTTTTTTTACACTACCTCCAAAAGATGGAATTGTAGTTGAAGCACCAAAGATAGTGTAAGTGTTGCAATGTTTTCTTTTCTCCTTATTCATTTGAACATACACTTGCTAACACAACACCAACCAGAAACGTTTGTTTCGCTTCTTCTAAACACAATGTGGTCAAATGCTGCCTTTCAAAAAAAAAAGAAGAAGAAAAGGAAAACCGGTTTGTATGTACTGTACAGATTGCGGCGGGGAAGCGTTCGCCAAGTTTCCCTTCCCCACGAAAAAAGTTGTATAGGAAATGAACGAACACTATATAATGGAAGCCCAAAATCACGTCGATGCCTTGAGCGCATGGGGAAGCAAATATAGTTAAGCCTATGTAGAGCTTTTCTTACTTCAACAGAGAACCATTGAACGGTATTCTACGATACTCAGTACGGTTTCAAAATAAACGATTTCTTCGTGGGTTTGCACTATGCTTTTTTGATTTTTCAAAAAGCACAAAATCGGTTACCTATGATGATATTTTGGACGGTAACGAACTTTTGTTGAGCTATTATGCACGGCTTTTCTGGACAGAGCCTTGCTTTTAAATATCTGCCAGTAAAGTGCTAAGGGCGCTTGAAACTTACAATAAGCTCCTCGTCCTTTAGTCAGTCTCTTCCCCATTTGAGTCAGGCATGATTATTGTGTTATTAGTGGACTTAACGTAAACTATTTTAAAATTCTTTCGCTAGCGTAACTCGACCTTGATTAAATTCTTCAAGCGACTTTTCCGTTGAATATCGCGCCCTTCTTGAGGTAGTTTCTCTCACACCCGTATGTGTTCACAACATATACAATCCTTTTTTTAATCGAGACAAAATTTCTATTATAATTAATTAGAAGCAAATAGCGTACGTATGATAAAAGGCTAAAATGCTGAATATCGCTGAAAATGCAAAATATTTATAGGGAAAGCCATCTTGTCATACGCATTAAAGACGAGAATATCGAGCATTTACCTGAAAATGCAAGTGACATAATCACGAAATCCTAAGGAAAGTATCGTAAAAACTCTGACAGATCCAATAGCTTTGCGGTACTTGTGTTTGAATAAATTTTCTAATAAGAAAAGTAAGAAAATAAAAGCACCTTTAAGCACCTTGACTACATTTACATAAGCACCTACATATTACCAATAATGTCAATGCGACGATCAAAGTAAGCTGAATAAATTTTATGCTTGAACGATGCATTGCCAATCGATTTCCATGTGTTATTGTAGTGCCATGGGAAAACAGGTTTTACCAAGTCCAAAGACATTTGCGTAGTGTGCACGCTCTTATGAAAATCATCATCCTAAATAATATCTGAATGAATATATTTTTCTTCCTTTTTTTTTTTTCGCAATCAATTCATCATTTTCACCTACAGTTGATAGATGCGTTGATATGCATGTCAGTACGATGAGTACGATTGCCAAAATTGCTGACAGCACCAAATTTACATATTGAAAACGTTGATCTTTATCAACTAACATGTTCTCTGTTTGCCTCTTTCTCGTTCAAGCTACGCATTCACTTATGTATAGTTTTCGTTAGCCACACTCAATTAAAAGATAATTAACGTAATCCTCATTTCATCGCAATATATCCAAAAAAAAAAACAAAAAACAAATAAAAAAACGAGAAAACAAAGACAACTAACTGTACCCGCTATGAATATTGGAAATGAACTGTAAGACCAATTTCCATATGATTGTTATGTGTACTATTTATTATTCGTCTCGTACATTATCCATTAGCCACCACCGTCAGTAGCCGGACAAAAGAGCTTTAATTAACCTCTCCCTTTTGAGCGTTATTTTGACCATAGTTTTTTTTCCACTTGTCGTGGTCGCGTTTAAAATTTCCCATAAGGTTTATTGGTATTTTTTTCTCTTAATTATTAGATTTCAGTGTCACTGCCAGTAGCAAAGGCTTCGAATACGTACAAGTTCGTAAGGTTCGTAATTTTTTTTTTTTTTATTTTCAATTTTATCCAATTATGTTCTGTAAAAAAAAAAGAAGCGAAATATATACGAACATAAAGATACTCAGCTTTGATTCCGTCATGCATAAGCGTCAAAAGACATATTAAATTGCCTCCGACTCTCGTTGGGTTTAAAATTATGGAGATGACATTATGTACGGAAAGCATAAGCTAAAAAAAAGTTGAGTCTTTTATTCACGGGATACCAATATTGTTCTAAGAGTCAGTGTACGTAATTCACATCCAATCGCGCGGAACGTCATTTAACGGTCATTGTACTAAATGCGGATAATGTTAGCTTTTTCTTATAACTACAAAAAAAAAAAAAAAAAAAAAAAGTATTATAAAAGTTCGTTCAAAAGTGCTGTTAAACTAATTTCGTTGTATTTGCATACCAGCATTTGCAAAGGCAAAAAAATAGCGAGAATTTCTCTTTTTTTTTTTGTAATATTTCAGATGCTTAGACGCGCTTTACGCGACTTCTGGACGTTACTAAGCAGCCTGCAGGTTACAGTTTGACAGGAGAAATGTTAAAGTGTAAAAGTGTAAATAATAACGTAACAATGAGGTAGCGTAAGCCTTAACACCGTAGAGTAAGTACTAGGGCTTTAACGTAAGCACTCACATCATAGTGTAGATGGGTGTAAATATAGATATCGTGACGTAATGCATCGGCTTAAACATTTAACTCGTAATATAAGTACTTGTACGACAGCGGACGTACTTGTGCTTTAATGCAACTACTAATAAAGAAGTGCAAGCACTAGTAGCGTAGTGTAGGTACTAGTCCCATAATCTAAATTTAACGACTTTTCAGAATATATAGGGAATGGTCGAAAAAGTGGACGAATCCGAACCATTTTTAATAGCATTCGCCCTTGGGTCAAAACACGTCACTGCATCAAATTTCATGGAAATATCAGACGGAAAGACGTTTGACGGACAGATGGACAGACAGGCTTATCTTCAATTCAGATTATGATTCTGTGTCAATTGGTATAATAAAAGGTGGGTCTATCTTAAGCCCGTCTGTGTTTTACATACGTCCACACTACCTTAATACACTCCGTACCATAAGAGGTGTAAGATATAATTATTACAAAACCGAGTAAAAACATTATATTGGCCTACCATTAAATACCCTATAGTTATGCATATAGCACAATTTCAAAATAAGGCATCATATAGAATGTCGTTAAAAAATGGCCAGATTAGAACCATTTTCAATAGCACTTACCTTGGGGACAAAACACGTCAGTGTACCATCTAAAGAATTGCGGCCTTACGATTAAATGCGTGATTTGAAACCCAGACAGACAGACGGACAATAAGATTTAAAAAGTAAAAATTTGTTCCGTTTTTATAATAAATACTCGATGGAAGTTGTATTGAAACCAACAAAATACAATTTTTTTGTGTTTTTATAAGAAACACTCTATGCGAGTTGTATTGAAACCACAAAAAGTTGTAATCAGTTGGTTTTTCATTAATAAATTCTTATGGCGGAATATAAGCACTGAAAACATAGTGAAAGTACTAAACCGATAGTGTATTAAACCGATAGTGCACGTATACGAACTGTACTGTAAGTCCTCATATCGTAATATAAGTATCACAACTACCTATACCATAATGTAGGCACATATACCGCAACACTACTACCGCAATCTAAGTTGTTATGTCATAGCACAAGTACTACTGGTGTAGTGCAAATGCTTATATTGTTGTTTTCAGATTAAATTTTTTGTTTCTACACCCATTACCGAAGCATGCGGTTATACGCGTCAGCGAATCGATCTAAGCACGTGCTTCTTTCCGTCTCTGCTGAAGATTGAAGAAGTTGGCAAAAACATCGAAAAGTCTTTTTATTGAAAAAGGATCATCTCTGTTGCCTCTGGTCGCACATTGCAAAGACTTGAAATGTTTGTAGGTTTGTATATTTTGACAATTATTGAATATCCGACTGAATCGATCTTATAGACGTGCTGAAACGCTAAAGCTGGGCGAGCTATGCTAACTGCATAGGCGATCCCACTTTCCCCTTATTCTCTATTATAACAACTCGCAGATGAATTGTAACTTGTCAGTTGTAATTATTAACTTAACTTACACTTAACTTAACAATTTTTAATTGAAATAAATAAATGGATGTATATGCTCTTCGAAAATGTATATATCTAAGATGATCTCAGAATGAAGAGAAAACAATTTGTTTATGAAAGAATGCTTTTTAATTATTATTGTCGAAGATATTTATCTCAGTAAAGACAGAATAATAAATCTAATGCGAATGTTCTATCTATTCGAGGGCGAATAGTGTTCTCTACTCTAACAATGAATTGATGGAAAAAATACTTCCCCGTAACCATAAGTTCGTTATAAATGTATTTATAAATGTTTTCGTTAACATTCGTAATGGATTATTTTATAAATTAACGGAAGCTAAGATCACTGACGCGTGGTTGATTATGAATTACACGCAACAATCAATGCGGGAAATAAATGGATGTCCCATGCTCCTATATAACTGAATCCAATGAAAAAACTTATTTCTAAAACAAAAATTTACGCATGAAATTTGAAACCAGGAAATCATTTCGATTTCATATATGTAATTGCTTTACTGATGCAAACGGTTTATATCGATTAATAATTACCTTCTGATACGATATTTATGCCGGTTATGTATATATAGGAATCGGTATTTGTCTGGCGTATCAGTAACATCAACTGCGAGACGGAAACGCTTTGGCAGGAAAACTATAGTGTACGCTTGATGTGACCAGAAGGATGTGCTCGGCTATTAACTTTTATAGTCCGATGAAACAATGGCTACCAAACATTTCTGATAACAACTAATCGATTTGATCCGTACGCTGTTTAAAATATTACTACAGGCAACAAGTAATGATTATTCGCATGACTTTGCGAAACTTTGGAAGCATTCGACTGGCTCATGCGGCTTACTCAAGCCCGACCCTTTCCCGTTATCGTTTGTTTTCACGTCTTATCAAAATGTATAAAAATGACCCCATGAGTGGTCTACCTCAAGAGAGCAACAGTTTTTTTTTTTTTGGCATGACATCCCCGAATTCCCATTATACACATTCTCAATGTATATATGATATTAGAATACATACCTTGTATACAGAGAGTGTAGCTGGTTATTTCGATTGTCTTGCTTTTTGATCAATATATATACTGTATATGTATGTTTGTGCCACACAAAAAATTCTATTCTCATTAAAGTTTCTGGATAATTTTCTTCAATACTGAAGGGATCAAATTAAGGCTCTAAGCAGATAGTATTGAAAAATTTAAAAAGTAGCGTTAGCCCTTAATTCCGATTATTGGAAGTAGGTTGACATAATGTTTTACGGAGTAGTGAGGTCGAAATCATCAAATACGGGCTTTTTATGTCCCCCAAATATTTTCGAAAAAGTAAAATAACCAATTGGTCCCTAGTTTGACATAAAAATTAACTATACCAAGTTGGAAAGCATGTAAGCACATTTTTTTAATCATATCCTATGCAAAGATTTTCTTGAATAGTCTTTATCATCCAATGAAGTCTAATCTTGACGGCATGATTTGTGGCGGGAATAAAAGACAGAGAAAGTTGGCACGAAAATTAAAATTTGAATCACATCAGTTAACGTTTTGTGTCCCCTTCGGTATACAGTCCCCCATGAAGTGTTCAAACTGTAATTTGTTTGATTTTGTCACGAAAATAATTGAAGAATTGCATTAGGCTGCACGGCATTTAATTATCGACCTTGCCCGAGTTTAATATTCTCAGTTGCTTGCTGGAAATTAAGGCACAATATTAAATTGGGTGAAGCGGCCTTTACTCACCGTTATCAGTGACAGCAATAAACAAAAACAGCAACAAGTTAGGCCATCATCCCCTTTTGACTTTATGTAGTATATACAAAAGCATTCCCTTCAATAAATTGGGATCTGATTCTTGCTAAATGCTTTATATGTATATAAGATTATTGTAGTAGCAGTTAAAGATCACTATTTTTGATTTCATATGCCATGTGTCATAATTTCTTATCCATGCCAATGTTTTCCTGCTCCTATCTTCTATAATACGCCTCCCAAGCCTTGCCAATATCAAGTTTATAACAACTTGAATCATGGAAGCTTGAGAGGTAAAGATAAGAAAAAACAAGTGCTTAGCAAGAACGCAAACCATTTTCAAATTATTATTATTATAATTTTAGACTAATAAAATATATTCTTAGACTAAAAAAGAAAGTCATTGAGCATTAGCAACGCAGCCTAACGGCCCTAATTTATAAAAGTACATATCTGATGTATCGAGCATAGTAGTTTTGATAAAGTTATATATTCTGATATTCTGTTTTGTGGCTGATTGTAGAATGTCCGTAAGGTTAATCGTTCCAAATGCAATACTTGTAGCCAAGCAAAAGTTAAGGCAGCCGCAGAGAATGTGCTTTATGGTGAGAGTTTGTCCACAACTGCAGATTGGGGAGGAAGACTTCTTCAAGATCCATTGATGAGTTGCAATTGTATGACCAAGGCGAATTCTCGAATATGTTTGGATCTTGATTTTCTCAACATTTGTTGGACATAGAGGTGGAGTTAATTGAGGGTTAATAAAAGAGTACTGCTGGTGAGGGTATTGTAGATTTCCTTCTGTAATTTTCTCTTTAACTTTTCTTCCTAACTTTTCCATCACATCATCCATAATTAGAGGTGCGCCGTACTTCCTGCCCTTGTTTAAGTATAGATCGGCACATTATTGCTTTATATTTATATACATATATACCTATAGGTTAAATATTTTATTTTCTTACCCCTTCGTACGATAGCAGGAAAAGTTCTTCGGTATTGGTAAGTTTTAAGTAATATAACTAATATATAAATATTTACTGACTTCAAATTTATTTTAATTAGCACTGGAAACTTACCAGCCATGTTTCCGGTACCCAGCCGATTCAGTGGATGTAACCGGCATTTCCAAAAGTCGCAGCATACAGCATTGATCCATTCAACTTGTGATAATATTGATGCTGAAAACAACTCTTAAACATTTTTTTCCGTAACAGTAATACTCCCCGAATAAATAAAACCAACTATTTGCTTAACTGTTTCCGGTTTTATATCTTCGAATTTCAGAGACCCCGCATCTTTTTCCATTAAACTACCATTAAACATGGAATGAAGAGAGGGTGACTCCGCGGCTAACAGGAGCCTATGAACCGAAATACAGGTGACAGCCTTTTACCACAAGAATGAAATCATAAAACTGAAAATGATTGACAAATAAATATTTACCCTCAATACGATAGTCTTGGTACCGGAATGACAATTCTCGCTTGTTCACATACCTCGGATGGATTCTCATTTACTTAAAGTACGGCGAAAGCGCTAAAAGCTTAGATGCTTAGGTGCACTTACCTGGAAATCGTTGGTATATTGTTAAGAAGTTGTGTTTTACATAAAGAATTTCTTGACTGTACATCTATTTTGTATATACATACAAGACTACGTACAAGACTACATCGCCGGGGAATGGCTTTATATTACGATTAACTCTTCGCTTTTAATAAACGGAAATAAGGATCAGGTGTCCCATAAAGTCGAGGTATACTTAAAGTAGCAGAACAGTAAAATTCTTTGTCGAAATAGTCAGTTCCGCTCCTTCTATAGGCCACAACGCACATAGTACTAAAATAGTGTATTTTATGATTAACAGCAATTATCGGTTTAAAATTCGTCAGGAATGTGTACGACGACAATGTAAAGCGCTTATAAAAAAGTTACCTATGATCCGCGGACTATGGAATAGCTGAAATCTTTAAGAAGCATTAGAGGATGACCAGCTAAAAGGCCAGTTGAAAATCGCTTGATTAATGGACGCGCACACGTCTAAATGATAGTCTGCAGTTTTTGTGTATTGGCTCTTGACGTCTCCTAAGCAGACATTTTTTTCTTTTTTTTTTATTATATGATCAACCACACAGGGGATGTTACCCCTATGTGTCATATGTGCAATAAGATTGGAAGGAAATGAGAAAGAGGGCTGTGCACACGTGCATGCGCAATCGGTCCACACAAGCCTTTACCGAAAAGCTGATTATTGTATTTACCGTTTCGAAGGAACTTATACTGTTGTGGAAAGCTCTCGTGAAGCAGCAAGAACTTCTTCTCTCGGTTACTCAATTAGGTTGAAGGGCGATATATAGTTATCGGTACTGTTGACGAACCAATATGATTTTGAGATGGTACCTTTACTTTGGCTTTTGTAATACAATGGAATAATCTGAATTTTCTGTGTAGCGTCACTAATCCAAGTGTAACTTGTAGACTATTGGTCGGAATGTTATGAAATTTTGAAAGATGTCGTTTAAAAGTTGGTGGTATCTAAAAATCAATTGGAATTCGTCAATAGTTATACTATGACATCCCACGAACTTTTTGAGTGATCACTTATGCAAAGTAGTAGTAATGGTAGTAGAAGCAATAATAGTGCGTATTTTATTTTACTCTAAGGCGAATATAATTTACTTAGTTTCTACGCAAACATAATAAAAGATTATTATGAAAAAGTAAATCGATATACATAGCACATCTAATCGTATGTAAAAGACAGTTAACAGCATATTACATAATCTTAAGTCTATATTATCTCTCTCTTTCTCTTTCCCTTTCTCTGCTTGTGTTTCTAAAGAATGAAGTCGTCGCTTGTCTTCTTCTTGTCTTAATGGTCTAAAAGGGCATTTGTGGCAATTACTGCTTCTTCTTCGGGTTTGTTCTTATTCAACAAAGTTTTATTTTTCTGACACCGAGATCATATAAAATCAAATTAATATCGTCTTCGTTTCTTTCGCGGCATAATGCATATTTATGTCACGTAAATGCGCTCATTTGTGCATTTTACAAGGGATTGAAGAATTCCGAGAGCAGCAGATGACGTGGATAATTGTATAATTTGAACAGCAGATGCGTTCGGAGGCGTTCATTTTTTGTGTGTGCACATCATACAATCTTTCAGTTAATATTGATCGATATATGCTAATATTGGGTAGTTAAAAATGTATTAAACCGTTAGGAGACTTTTCACGCCAAAAATCTCTCATTTATTAGACTAATAGCTGTATCTTGGAATTGTGACCCGTTATAAGGCACAAAGATTTGCGACTGAAAGTTCTTGTTGTAGTGTCTGCAATTTTGTATCAAATTTGGTATTCCATTGCAATACTCGCAGTACCACATTTGCAATATAATGCAAAGCTGTTAAGCGACAAAATACCTTGTGATTTTTCTGTGATGGTCGTGATTAACATACCGCTGTAGACGTTACTTAGGATACCACTTAATGTTTGAGCAAATTGGAATATATTCCTCGTAGCTCATAGTCAAAAGCGGTAGAATTGTATAAGAAACAAATTCTAATTTATAAGAATAAATATTTACTTATGTGGTACATGTGCGAAATGTTTTGTTAGTTCGTCGCAAATTTCCTACTTAACTTTGTAACAAATACTTTGTTCTTTAAAAAGCTCTCAAGTATAAATTACATTTACAGAAGCTCAACAGCAACCACAAAGGATATAAATTCGAAATTCTTTAATTTCTGCATTTGCAACAGCATTGAATGTTAATACCTATGCGGCATGTTGTCGGTACAAGTGGTTTAAAGTTTTTCTATTGAAAAGTTTTTTTTTACTTTTTTACTTTCTTTAGCTAAGAAAACTTATTATAGCTTTTTGCCTATATAAATTTTACAAAAGATTTACTTTGCTTAACACATCCTGTACATATTGTCGCATTTTTTCTCAATATATATTTAATCATATCTTGGCAGATATTTTGATATAAACAATTAAAACCATTAGAGTGGACCGCAGCCTACCATTAAATACCCTACATCATGCTACGGTTATTCATACGGTTATTCAGCGGTGGTTAATCCTTGGGTCAGAACACGTCAGTGTATCAAATTTCACCAAAAGACATCAAAAATTTTGGTCGATAGGCTGAACATAAAAACACGCGGACAGATGTATTTTGGCCGAAGGTCGTACGCTATTAAAAATGGTTCGAATCGGTCCGCTTTCTTGACCCCTCCCCATGCAACGCTTTACTTTGAAAAGTTATATGGAAAAATATTGCAATTTTAAAAACGTCTCGATAAAACTCGCTGAGTGATAGTGCTTTGACATTTTAAATTGACTTGAAAAAGTTACTTCGGTTGTGCCAATTTTTTGGAGCTCCCTCTCATATAACCGTTCCTACGAAAACTGAATCTTTAAATTGTGACTATTCCAATAATTCGTGGCAAAAACTGTTTCATAATAATAAATTGAAAAAGAAATCAACCTTACCGAATTTGGACCACGTAGGTCTATTATCAGGAATTGTAGGTCCTTATTTGTCAAAAAGGTCTAATTGTTGATATTTTGTAATGAAAATTTGTTCATGATAGCAATTTGCTATATGGATTAATTGGACAAAATTTAAGCCTCATGAATCTATTTATTAGACCTCACCCCTTATAAGAATTTTCATGATAGGTAAGCCCTTCCGAAAAAGGTTTAATTTCTAATATTTTATGACGAAAATTACTTCGTAGTAGAAATTTTCCAAAGAAAAAACAAACAGTGAAGAATTTGTATCTCATAGTCCTATATTTTAGACCCTAACATATGCAAGGATTGTCATGAAAAGCAAGCCCTTACATAGAGAGAAAATATAATTACTAATTTTCTGATGGAAATTGGAAAACAATAAAATTTTTGGAAAGTAAATTAAGTTTGATAAATTTGGTTTACGTTATGTGATGTTTTGGGCGTTCAATATACGGGCTTTGTGCAAATATGGCTTCACTAAAAAATAATGTGTAATTTTTGGTGTATTATGAATGGAATCAATAACTTTGTTAGGCGAAAGTCTTGTAGTATATCTAATGGCCGCCCTGGCCTAGCTACAACGTTCTTACTTATTTTTTTAATGGCTGACTTGAAACTTATAATTTCCATATCAACCTATGGTCTCCTTAAGAAAGGTATGTAGACTTAATAGAGTCAGTTCTGTTTGCCCTGAGGAATTTGGGCTGGGTCTTGCTGCTGTCTCTTATGAAAATAGACTGCTTTTGTTGGCCTTACCCCCATTACAGAAAAGTAGATTGAAGTTTGGTGTTTCCTTCTTAATTATGTTAATAAATACTACCACTGAACCGTCCGCACTATTAGGTGAGACAAATTTCAGTGTTCCTAAACCGTTTTGTGGGGACCACGAACTTTTCGATCCATCTAGTTGACTTTGCTAAAGGAAGTCTATTATTTAATTTCAATATTCCACTCTTCAAACTCTGTAAAAGTTACTCTCTATAATATGCCAGCTCCGTCTGTGTCGTACTTAAACTAACTGCTAATCGTTGAATCTTCTTACGTCTCGTTGAATTAAATATATTCGTTATAATTGGTTGTCACGCTTCTGCATGTTTGCAATGTTCCACAGGATCTGTACATTTGATGGCAGTGTACGTCCCGTGTATATGCATACTAAGTAGCATAAGAATTTTAATGCGTGCTGTTGTTGTTAATCTTTGTTAAACTTTGTCAGCAGGCGCAATGAACACTCAAGATAATAAAATATTCGGTAACTGACCACAATTTGTTGAAAGAAACTCGAATTTTTACTCAGCAGATTTATTAACTAATTTCAGGCATGTCATCATCCTCCAAGCTTACCAACTTGTAAAAACATTCTAAATATATTTTAACAGGATTACCATCACTCTTGAAGCTACTAGTAATTTCCAGTGCGTAAAAAAATAAATAAAGAAATACAATAAAATAAAAACACAATTCAATTATCCCTTTTCATATACTATGGTGCAATCCAGCAGAGCAACGAAAATAATTATTTGATTTTATTATTTTTGTAAACATTTTCAAATTTCTGACATAATTAGTTTCTCTGCGTCCACTAATTTTATTAAATATGTGCTTTTATAATGTTATTTTACTTTGTTTTCTCTTCCAAGATGAAGCTCGATAGCTACTTTGCTTTGGTGGCAAACTAATGACATTGTACATTTGATATCGAACAAGCATTTGTACGCCATCGATTACCATCAATGCAATACTCGTTAACGACTTTTCGGCAATGCGAACCATCAACCGACCTTGATAAGCTGAATTGTTTTGCGTTGATTGAAAGAAATATTCATCACAAGGGTCAAATCTGGATTTTAGTAAAGTGTTTGTGTATTAGGACCTTCCGTCTTAACGATTGCATTGTACCTGTCACCATGAAAATCACTACCGTCTGATTCTTTATTGTATGTTACAGTGATTCAGTTTACACAAGTTATCGAATGTTTTTGTTAAGTACAGCATACAACCTGTACTTTTTTTTGGGGGTGGTTTTATTTCTTCAGTACTTTACTATTATTTCAATACTTACCTATTATATAAATAAAATGGGCGATTAATTATAAATTTCTTAAGAGCTGTTGCTAAATGACATCGATATTTACGTGATCCCTTTACACTTACGATCTACAGTGAATGAGACAGTACACGTTGTACCTTGCAAGCAAACATTGCACGTGTCGTGATTGCTGAACAATCCAATCCACACCAAAAGCAGTTTTTTTTTTTATTGTTTCACTTTTTACACCCATCAACAAAAAAAGGCTCATTTCGTCCAAACTTTCGCAACGCTAAGAAAAGAGCTTAGGAAATCCTACTTTGTACTTTGTATTGCATAAGTTTTTTTATAGGTAACGTATAGACGAGAATGAAAGCCGAATGCGGGGTTTTCCGGATTCTTTCATGTTTTATTTGCAAAGGACACGAACCACAATATTTGTTAGTTGAACGACCGCAATTGAGAAATGAATGATATATGTGTATTCAGGTAAATAGCAATTTTCACAGCATGCGTGTGTATGTACGCATATAAGTGAGAAAGAGACAACTCATCACTAGCTTAAACTATTTGAGAACTATGCGTAATTTGGCAATAAATGCGTTGCGTCTGCATAAGCCAAAGGCAACTGGCTGTTAGCATTAGCAAATTTGACATGAGCAAGATGGTCTGTATAATGTCTGCGTTAAACACTCTCTTAATCGCTTACTCTCATATGGACGCAATTTTTATGCGCTTACTCTCTAATGGACGCATTTTTTATACATGCGACAGCTATTAATAAACAAATACATTTTCAATTATTGAGAAGTGTAAACAAACATATTTTACAATTGCGATTAATTAAACAAAGAAAATGTTTAAATTATCCTTCATATTAAATAGAAAAGCGCTAAGAGGATACGTTACAGGTATGCTACCGCCCAGTCGACAGACGAAAGGACTTGAGCTAGAGCCGGACATAAAAATATTCCTTAGACTTTTTGATAGATGTGTTGGTACTACACAGAAAGTATAAGCTTGGTACAGAATATCCTCATAATTTTTTGTTGGTACGCGTAAGAGCATAAAGATAACCAAAGAAGTCAACCAGGCAGAAGAATAATTGCTCCATCATTCAAAAAGGAAGCGGATTTACTTACAACATTTTTAAAGCATTTCCTACGGTTTTTTCATTTATTCCGGAACAGCTTGAAGATGCGCTTACAAATTTGCAGCCTTAATTTATTCTTTGCCTCTTTAAAAGGAATGAAACTAAAAGAAAAGATAAAAGAGGGAAATCTTTTGTGTACAAAGGCGATGTGACAGTGCGTTTATAACTTTCTAATTTTTTATACGAAAGCAAAAATAAGATTAAAAAAAAAACTGTTTACGCAGTGGGACGAATTTCGGTTACCCACCATCATAATAGTAATAAAGTGTGCTAGTGTGCTAAAGTGTGCATTTGATTGATTTTTGTTAATATCGTCAGTTTGCCGGCAAACTGATTAATTGGCGTGATTCATAAACACTTCTGAGGGAGTATTTTTAGACAAAAACATAGTCTGAAAGAAAATTTTTTTGGAAATTAAATAACTATAATATATCTGCCAGAGAGATCAATCAACAAAAGTACGATAGACAAAGGATTGAATCTTTTTTTCTCAGCGCGGGGAAACATCTGTTATTGATTTGCGAAATTCTAGAAGAAGAAGAAAATAAAGTAAAAAATAATGGTTTCAGCTTCGCATATCTGTAGTGAAAACGAAAAACGCGAATCTTTGGCAAAAGGTTTTTAATCGTCTTGCGTTCACGCAACCGCAAATTCCCAAAACGATTGTGTTGTAACAAAATAAATTACGAGGTCAAGTATTTACTGAAAGTTCGATTTCTAGAGAAAAAAAAAATTTCGTTTGCACACAGTAATTACTTCGGAATCTGCTGATGGATAGCGAAGGCGAAGGCACCAAAGAATTTGATGTCGAGCGGATTGAAGATAAACGCATAAAATGTGGTAAAACTGAATATTACCTAAAATGGAAAGGTTATCCCCGAAGTGAAAACACATGGGAACCTGTCGACAATCTCAACTGTTCTGATCTGGTAGCAGCTTATGAAGAATCGCTAAAAAATAAAGAAGACACTATGAAGTGTCCGTCTTCCACGCCAAGGAATAAGCCAACCGCTAAGCAGAAGGTGGTAGAGGACAACAAAAGTGGGTTTGATCTCGGCTTAGAACCGGAAAGGATTTTAGGCGTTGCAAATACTTCAGAAGGATTAAAGTTTCTCATGAAATGGAGTGGCAGAGAAGAGGCTGATTTTGTATCTGCAAGACAGGCGAATGCCATATGTCCCCGAATTGTTATTCAGTTTTACGAAGAACGAATTTCCTGGCACCCATCTGGCTCGAACGATGATAAAGCGGAAGATTCCGCTGATTGAATAAAACTTGCAAATTGCTTTTTACTTTTGAAATTAGCTCCGATTTTATATAAATTTAATAATCCATTCCAGTTTTTAAACTTGAAATGTATGTGCGCCTTACATTAATTAACGAACATATTTTTTGGAAAACATCTTCACCAAAAAAATTTTTCAAAAATGTTTCAATTTTGTTTCTAAATTTTTTTCAATTTCGAATACTCAACGACTCTTGAAAGCAATGAGAAACACATAGACTGTGCTTAATCCTCAGCGCCATAGACCATACTTTAAATATGTTTGGATTGTAGTCGTTTCAAGAGTAAGGGCATAATAGGCATATCGACAGGACACACACTCTCTGACTCTCTCGCCCCTTGTCTCTGACCATGACCGTGTTATGCGTATAGAAGACATCCCCTGAGTGATTTACCCAAAAACTACAACTTGACAGCGGTTTTCCTACATATATATAATTCCTTATACACCCTATTCAGTTTTTATTACGTATATAGGAGGATTGCTATCAATTTTCACATCTGTGAACTTTGCAATGTCATTCGAAGTACGACAAGTATCATATCAACATCAACAGCTGTGGAATAAGTTTGTAGTTCTTTATGTGATGTAGGCGTGATTGAACGAACAGATCCGTTCTATGGAAGTTTTTGATCTTCTTCTTGGACATTCAGTCAATCAACAACAGATGATTCGCCGCGTCATAAAATAAGGCCTAATGAGAAGGAAAATTGGTCACGACTTGTGTTAGCATTAATGGTTTAGAGTTGTATTTATGAAAGAAAGCAGCTGTAAATTGAAAATAAAAAGAATTCCAAACAAAATTTTTTACCTGCACACCGCTGAACCAGGACAAAAAATTTTAAATTTGCAAAATTTGCTCCAATTGTCTAATTAATATTCGTAGCTCGAAAAGCGCGTAATCTACCGTCTACCATCAATCTTTCCATACCTCATCATATATATTGTCCGTATCACTGCTAAAGGTCATAAAAGAAAAAAATTAATAAAAATTTATCACTCTACTGGTTGTATTGTTATTATCGCCAAAAGGCCATTTTACTAACCAAAAAAAAAAAAAAAAGAAGTAAAATGTTATTAAATAGTCAAGTAATCTTGAGACATATATACACATGAGGCGGAATGGTTTCTTTCCGTATTCGAGATTGGCGAAAAAGGATATAACAGGGCTCTGTGGGACACTTCAAATCCTCTTACGTTACCCAAGAATGTGTAAGTAAATCATTTCATACATTTGTCAAAGACGCATTACAGATTGTTATATACACATACACACATTGTTATATGTGCATTTTTGCAAAAGTTTTGCGGGTGAGAAGAGGCTTTTGAATACATTTTAGGCAAAATTGATGCAAGGGAGAGTATAAGAAGAATCTACATGCCTCCGCTGAATCAGTTAGCAGTCACTTTGGACTTGTTCAAGTTTGGAGGCTATCAATGACTAGCGGGTTTTATTTAAACGCTACTCAGGGCATCTTTCCGTACACACACATAAATATTTTATTCGTAAGGTATGCGATTATATGAAAATTACAGCAGTAAGTTTTTGATTTCCTGGATCAAGGCAAATTATTTTGACGATGGTGTAGATGTTTCGTTAGGGATGTCTTAAATGACGCGAATAAGTGAGCAAATAAAAATCGGTATATCTTGCGCACTTTCAAATTGAATTGAAATAATATAACTGAAAAAATATAAAGAATAAATCCGTCTTAAGATGTTTTGTAAAACATATAATACGTTTTATATTCTTTATAGATAAAATCACGTTTACAATTTAAAGGTTTCTTAAGAACGATAACTGGTCGTAGAAATCCGGAGATTTTTTTTTACGGCACGAAAATATCATCTATTTATAATTAAAATTGCTTGCACCTTAAGTCATTGGAATTTCAGGTAATTTCATGTATTCGCGCCGTTTCGGAAAGCAATGCAACTCATTAGCTGCAATTACTCCTTTTTTTTTGCTCTTCGTTTTTTCTGTTACAAATGCTTATTCTTTCGCTATAATTAATTTCGCAGAAAATCTTACATCATTTTGTTATCATTTCCATTTGCATAATTTCGTTTATTAATTTCATTATTGTAAACAAACAATCGTCAAATTGGACACTTATTTTCCCACTATTTTTTCAAAATAAATTTTGAATGATGAAAGTCTTATAGCTTTCAAGGGATGCCATTCAAATGAGAGTTTGTTAACTAAAAGATACATAATCAGTTTTTAAGTTTTACATTTGATGATTACCTGAAATGATATGTTTTAGTTTTCGATGGACGAAAGTCGAATAGATAGGCAAGCAAACAGACGGATGTGAATCGACTTTAGCAGCATATGCTTTGAGATGTAATCTCGAATGTTACCAAGGAAAGGAAACGAGTAATATACCCACATGGATATAAATATATGTACATGTCTATGTTTATGCTTTCTTGCTTTTACGCTAAAGCTCAAGTTATTTTCATAGTTTTTCTGCATTTCTGCGTGATGGTAAAAGTGCAGTTAACAAACATTTTTTCTATAGATGCAGTTGACTTTTCCTATATATTTTAATATGAAAGAAAATGTCGGAAATAATGTGTTATCTTTGTTTGTTGTTAATGCGATTAGTGTTTAATATAAATTAAGCTTCAAGCGTTGTCTTGAAATCAACAATTTAACCATTAAATAGATTTTTATAGGAGGAAGGTAGTCATAGGTTACGTAAAAGATGATTTAAAAAATCCGGATAATAATATCAAGCAATCATATTCTTTATGAATGAAAGACGGTAAAGCGATTACGATTTTTGTGATGACACAAAGCAATCTTGTCTATGATGCGCACAGTCCGTGATAATAGTTTGCATCCTGGAAATTCGTATCTTATTTTAGAACTGCATCATGACCGCTCCTAAAAATTATAAAATGGAATTAAACGATGATATAAAGGAACATAACTTTAGGCAAGTTGCAAGAATCCTACAAGACGTATTCAGTGCGCAAGTAGCACTGTAAGCAATGCTAACAAATAAGGTAAGATGCAAAATGTACATGTGGTAAAAGCAGCTGAAAGCAGCGCTGTACTTAGCTGAAAACAGCGCTGAAGCTAGCGACTGTGCTGCACTTAGCTGAATGAATCACTTGCTATCAAATAACGTGTTCCAAAACAAAAGTGGCAATAGTAAAATCTTTCAATATCAATATTGCTTTAATAAAAGCTTCGTAGCTTATGGAAATCATAATTGGAGTTGTAAAATAGGAGCAACTAGAAGGCCGCTCAGAATAAGGTGAGTAGTCATAACTCGTTCACAATAAATAATACCGATCCGTTGAAATATTCGTTAGGGCTATATAAAAGTTTTGCCTACTAAATTAGTTGGTGAAAACCATTGTTAGGGCCATCACATAGTTAGTAAATGGCATTAATCGTTTTACAGCGCTGCGCAGTCGTTAGGTGCAGAGTAGTCGCTAAGTACAGCGCTGCAGCTAGGTGCAAAACAATCCAGCTGAGTGCTGCGCTGCACCTAGTTGAATGCAGCGCTGCAACTAGTTGAATGCAGCACTGCAACTAATTGAATGCAGCGCTGCACTTAGCCGAATGCAGCGGTGCACCTAGCTGAATGCGGCGCTGCACTCCGCTAAGGTAGGTAGAATCCAGCGCTGCACCTAGTTGAATGCAGCGCTGCACCTAGCAACTTTGCTGCACCTAGCTGAATGCACATAGAGAGTTCTCTACATCTAACGACTGTGTTGCACCTATCTGCAGCGCTGCATTTGACGACTGCATGTCTGCACTTAGGTGAATGCAGCGGTACACCTAGTGACTGTTCTGCAAGTAGCGACTACGCTGCACCTGGTGACTGCGCCGGATCTAATAAACTCTTGTACCACATATATATCGAAAAGATATTAAAGGATCAAGAGCGAAATTTACTAAGCAAGAGCACTTACTTCTAATTTCT